CCCTTCACTCCTCTTCCTCCTGCCTCATCTCTTCCCTGGATGCTACCCCTCCTCTCACCTCTTTTCCTGCTCTCAGGAGATAATAACCATGGACGTGGGGAAGAAAACAGGGCACTGAACTTTCATCTRTTGAGAATTTGCTGTCTGCCTTGAATTTGTTGTTGTTTGTTTGGTACCTTCGATAGCAATTCAGTGCAAGAAAAGTCATCTCTAGGAATAAGGAGAAAAAAGACCCAGACAAAGTAACACATCCTAAATCAGGAACGGCTTATTTTCTAGCAGGGTTGTGGAGTCCAGAGTGGGAGAGATAGAGCACTAAACCCACCCTGGATGATACATTTTCCTCCCATCTGAGGCTGGTACAAGGCTGTGGACGAAGCCCAGCACTGTCAGGAGGACCTGGAGAGGAAGATTCCCCCTTGGCTTTGTGAGCAATCGGGAGCTGCGTGTCAGGATCTGCCAAAGACAAACCAGGTACCAGCAAGATGATCCAAAGCAGGGCATGGCCACTCGTGCAGCATCTCACAGGAGACAGCTGGGAGGATGGATGGCAAGAAAAGCACATTGGCAGCTGCAGGGACCAGTGGACAGGGGAGGAAGGCAACAACTGGAGCAAGAGAGGGGTGGGGTCGAAGGCCCTGGCCAAGGCACTCAGATGATTTAGGGCTTTTGACAGCCCCAACACATCACAAGTGCTTTCTGTCTCTCTCTCTCTACCTATCTCTCTATTTATCTCTATTCTATTTCTATCTGTGGCACTCATCTGAGTAATCTGTTTCACACAGAGCATGGTTTTCTTTCAGGTGAAGCAGCCAGGAGAGGCTGTGCTCTCCCAGCATCTCCCAGCAGAGAGTGGGTTTTGACAGCGCAGGGCTGGAGCAAGACCTTGCTATAGCTGTTTGCAGTAAGTCTCACAATCTGCTCTCCAATTATTTCTTACATTTTTTATTTCTTAGAAAGACAGGCTGGSTCTGAGCAACCTGGTCCAGTGGAAGGTGTCCCTGCCCATGACAGGGGTGTTGGAACTACATWATCTTTAAGAACCCCTCYAWCCCCAACAATTCTASGATTCTGTAATGTGATTCCATGATTTTACCCTTCTCTGTACACACTGGAAAAGAATTCAGTTGCTGGGGCTCSATACCCCCACCTCCACCAAGGTACAACTCCCTGGTACGCCATAAAGCACTTATGTGCATGTGATTAAATGCCACTGAAGCGGATGGGAATTTGCTTACAAGCAAATTACAAATTCCTTACAAGCTTAAGGACTTTGCAGAATCAGGGCCTAAATCCACTGAGTCTTTGCTAACACACCCAGCCAGCTGAGTCCTGCCTGGGGAATGCGTTTATTTTCCCTTTTGAGGCTATGAAATGTTATGCYGAAGCTTTGCCTCCCCCCTGGCAGCTGCAGGGAGCTGATGTGAATCCTGGGGTGAGATTGGAGTGGTGCTGTTGGAGATAATGCTGACTTTGGGTGGGGTTTGTGTTCACACAGAACATCCCAGCCCAGGTACAGAACCACTAAAGGTCTTCTACGTRCTCTAAAACCACATATCAAAGAGCAAAAAGCATAATGCTGTCTCCTATGTTTGAGCTAAAACCATTGATTGCTGTGATGGAAATCTTCCCATAAACTCCAATGCATTGTGATGGTGGCAGGGGCTCACACGGTGATTTTGTTCTTTTAGTGCAAGTCTTTGGTTTAGACCAAAACAACAATTAAATAAAAGCTGYAGCCTGTTTTTCTGCTGAGCAGATCATCTGCGTGCCACCTAAAGACTGTAACCCCAAGAAGAGAGGGCTTTTTCCCTCCAAAATCAATTTTATTTAATTTTTGTAAGGGGATGGGTTCCATATTCCATTACTCTCAGTTGAATCAAGAGTGTCCTTTTAAGTTTTGCTGGAACAGACACATAAAAACTCTCCCCCAGGGATAAGACAATATTGATCTGACATGGATTGATCTCAGAGAACATTTACAGGGTCTRGTGAGCAGCTAACGATGAACACTACCAAGTATACACTTACAGATTTAGARCAAGAAACCCATTTTCTTTCCCTCRGCTCAGAGAAAGTCCTGGTTTAGTTTTTCATCCAATGAGCAAACCCTGCCAACCCCCTCCTGTTAGAAGGCATTACAGGGATTATTTTCCAGGCAGGCTTGGTACCCCTGCTCTCCCCTTCTCGGGCCGGATGCTCATCAGTCTTACACGATAACTATTGCATGTGTCCTACTTATCCAGAGAGGCTCTGGGCAGCTGGTTATTGGGTTTTCCTGTCTGAATACAGGAGCTTAATTTAATAGGCGGCTGTTGGAAAAACAAGCAGGAAAGCAACACAATGGGGCTTGATAAGCAGCGTCCAAACAAGCTCCGAGGAGGCAATTACAAGAAAATGGCTGAGCCTTTTCGATGAGGAAGATGCAATTCCAGATGCCAGCCATTATGCAGATACTTGCCCAGGCTGGGAGAYTCCAGATCAAACCATCACTACATGGTTAACAAAAGTTCTTGAGGAAGGGGAGCGTAAAGAGGGCTCCTGTGGAGGCATTTTGTGGAGAAAAAAAAGAATATTAATGGAGGAGAGAAAGAAAAGTGGTGCTGGGTCAGATGCAGGGACCATCCTGCCTGGCATCCTCTCATAGCCAATGGTGTATGATAAGCCAAGGGTATGAGAAGTGTTCAGGGATATTTTCCCATAAACTATCCAAGCCTGCAGCAGGCTRCATGCAGCTCCAGGACTTCCTGAGCCCAAGGCTTGTATAGAAATATTGTATTGAATAGTCCTGGCCTAACCAGTTACCTCAGTGAAAAATGCTCCCTATCTTTAATCACCATTTTCTTGGTGAGAACGGAGGCCAGAGCTGCTCACAGCATTCAAGAGGAGAGCAAACCAGGAATTTGTACAGCAGTTTTTCCTCTTACCTCATTAACTCCTATCCGYCCATTTGCTTTCTTGACTGCTGCTCAGCAATGAGCTGATGCTTTCATCAAATTCCTTGTTATAAGCTGTGATCTTTTTCCCGAGGGGTTGCAGCAGTTCAGAGCCCATTGCTGTGTGCATGACATTAGGAGTGCTCCCTCTGAGGCTCATCACTTACATTTGTCTCCACTGAATTTCATCTGTCACTTTGTCACCGAGTGTCCCGAGGTCCTGCTGCGGTTTGGTGCCATCAGCCTTTCTAAGCAGCTCAGTGTCACCACAAACCATCACCACGTCCCCAGCCACCCCCACTCCTACATCACTGATGAAGATGCTGAGCACAGAYCCCTGCTCACATCACCATGAAATTCCCCATCTCATAGCTCCAGTGYAGACTGACCATTCCAGTCTGGCCTTTGTGGTTTCTGTGTATAAAACACTGAGATTTTTTCATGGCTCCTTACTCCCCTTAAAATGTTTTGATGAGCAATTTTGTCAGAGCCTGTAGGAAATCAGTATCTCTTATATCCATTAGATCTCTGTTTTCAACTGCATATTTGGCTCCATCAAGGWCTGTGGTAGATTTTGTGAGTTATAATTTCTCTTGCCAAAACCTGTGTTGGCTCTGCCTTGGTACAAATGTGTTTATCCTCTTGTCCTGCCAGTTTCACAACATCATCACTGGRTTTGCTGCTCCAGATCACCTGCCCTTGACACCTTTTATCCCAAAACTGCCTCTGATTGTTGCCTCCCATTGCTTCAACACCCAATTTGTAAGAGATCAAGCAAGGCAGGCTGGAAACCAGCATGGCTGAGAAAAGATCTGCTCCTCAAGCTGAGGAGTGAGAAGGAAATGCACAGCTACTGGAAGCAGGGATAGTTGTCCTAAGAAAGTTACAGGGCTACGATTTGGATGTGTAGGGATGGGGTCAGGAAAGCTAAGATGGAAAAGGTCSATGAGAACAYRGTCTAGTGGAAAGTGTCCCTGCCCATGACASGAGTGTTGGAACAAGATTTTGCAGGTCCCTTYCAACCCAAGCCCATCTGTGATTCTCTAATTTTACTCCATGCCTTGGTATCAAYTCCTCTAAGGATGCTCTTTCTTTACTTTCCCAACACTGGCTTTTCCTTTGTGTCTGTATCTTTGTGCAGACTCTGTATGAAACACAATCACAGTAAATCCCTTCCTGCCTTTCAGACCTTCCAACATAGCTGTTGCCAAGAGAGAAGAAAAAGCATCATACAAGATGTAAATAGCTTGACCTCTCATCCAGAAAAAAAAAAAAAAAAGTTTACTTAAGGTAAAATGTTCCACACTATTAATTTGATCTGAGTTTTGATTAGCACCAAGAGCACTAACTGCTCCTGCCATCTCATGCAGCGAGGTTATTCCCATGCTTGTGGGAATCCAACCGTGTATCCAATTGCTGCTCTGATTCACGTGAAATGGGAACCCTYGGAAAACCGATTTCTTAAATCCGAGCGGAGAATGCCGCAGTTTGGGAGGCCCTCGCCAGGCAGCTGCGACACAGACCGTGCGTGTCCTTGTCACCCATGTCGCCAGTCGGGGGAAACTTTATCTTCGCCGCTCGGCGGGAGCAGGACCCTCCTCCTCGGCAGCGGGGCTGTCCCGGAGCGGTACCAGCAGCGCGGTACCCCCGGTGCGGCACTCGGGCGCGGTACCAGCAGTGCGGTACCCCCGGTCCCGTTCGCGGCATCCCTAGTGCGGTGCTCCGAGTGCGGGACCCGGGCGCGGTACCCCCGGCGCGGTACCCCCAGCACATCACCCCCAGCGCGGTACCCCGAGCACGGCACCCCCGCTTGCCGAGCCCCCGCCCCGCGCGTCACTACAACTCCCGGCGGCGGGCGGGCGGTGACGCCAGCGCGCCGGGCGGGGC